TTTTATGGACAGGAGAGCAAGGACTCAACCAGGTGGTCTACACCTGTGCCCCAAAGAGCACTAATTTATGAGCAGCTTTATCATTTCAATAATCAACACAACCTTATTAGCATTAGCATTAGCAATAACTTAGCAGGTAAGTCTGATGTTTGTACAGCCAAAATGTGGAACAGCTGACCTGCAGGATTTGCAGAACTTGGAGCATTATGACCAAACCTCACTCTTTTTTTATTGCATGCCTGGTGAGGCTGCAGGCATTTATTAAAGTCAAAGGAAAGAATTTTGTGGGGAACCAACTGCATTACATCCAGCTTGTTTCAGGTCTGTCAGACTCGCAATAATCACCGGTCATTCAGTCGGACATTTCAGTAATGTGAAACAGATCCAATACTAAAGAGAAGTACAGGAAATGGCAGCAAACTGCCTCTGCAAACCTTAATAATCTTCATCTCCTCATCTTTAAGTACACGTGCAAAAAGTCCCGCCACACAAACCGTTTCTCTGGTTTGTGTGGCGGGCTCTTCAATAAATCTCCGTTGTAGCATTACACAGACTGTCACTACCTCAGGGACAAAGTGCAGCAACCAGAATCTTATCTCGCACATCTGTAAAGTTTGCTCAGGTTTTAGGTCGAGCTGCAGGTGGAAAAAATGAGACTGAGAGCGACACCGCGAGCGAGCACAAAATGGGACTGAAGCGAAAACGAAACATCTTTCATGTGGTTCAAAGACTCAGGCGGTACCTTCAAAGCAGATCTCACGAGATAAAAACAGTCAAAGTTACACTTTCCTCCGAGCCCTAAACGCATCGTGGACGGACCTGCAAACCTTCCTGCTGGAGAAAGAAGATTAGAAATGCCTGGACTCACTGCTGTCGTAGATCGGCTCGGACACCACGGGCTCGAGCCGCCTGGAGAAGCCGCCGTCGCTGTCGGGGAGGAACGCCGTGAACATGAGCCGAACCACGCTGAGGTCCATCTCTTTGGCCTGAGAAGAGGCAGCAGTTCTGATCACACTGAGGTGGTGCTCTGAAGACAGAGAGAGGAGGGCGAGAGTCAACAATGAAACAGATAAAACATCCCGAATTTAAACTTTGTTATGTGTCTCACTCACCTGTGATTTCTCGGGGGACTCTGACCTCCCCCTGAACACTGTCGATGTCGGGGTGGATGGAGACCCCGCAGTTGTATCCCAGCTTAAAGGCCTCGATCATCCGCTCCTCCAGAGTCTTTGCCACATTCTTCTTCGTCACGTGGAGGATCCCCAGGTTCGGGAAACTATGAGAAATAAACTGAGCGTCACATACGATCGTTTTACGGGCTTCACTGCGTGTGTGTGTGAGAGAGATGCAGACCTGATGGTGGAGTCTTTGGACTGCAGGTCAGCGATGCAGATTCCTTTATCGCACTGTTTTCCCACCAGACTGTGAGCGTGCAGGTGAGGGACGGCGGTCAGCGCCGTCACCAGCTGGACCACCACCCGGGCCTGACCCTGGTAGTTACAGATCTGAAACACACGCACAGATAACCACCATAAATATCTGCAACTTTACTCCAAGACTCACAGTGTTAAGACTAAACCAGGCTCACTATAACCTGCTGTGAGCATCAGTGCGATGGATCTACGACAGTCTGAACTGCAGCAGATTAATGTCTGTGAGGCAGAGCAGCAAACACCACTGATGAGACCCTGGATGATCTGATCTCCATAATCCACTGGAGAAAACTTCAAAAAGTGCATTATGGGTAAACTTTCCAGGCTGATATCGGCACGTGGGATCAGCTGATGAACCTACAATTCAATCCCAGACTCGCCTTCCAGCTCTGATATTCTAATATTCTTATAAATCACATCTGAATGTGGCTCCTGGCTGTGAAATGGAGAAATAATGCCGATCAGATCAAGTTTAGGAGTTTTTCTGAATCCTGCAAAGTTCTGGATCACAGAGGGAACTTCATCTGTCATCTGTCGCTGATGCATGAAAATAATCTTTGCCATGTTTTGGTCTTCGAATCAGGAGACCAGCTTATCGCCAACACACTCAGTCTGAGAGGAAATGCGCTTCTGCTGAACCTTAAACAGTGACTGTGCTGAAGGACGCTCGGTGTGGATTGTTAGAGTCTGTCAAATGAGGGAGAGGTCAGACTGGATGGATGTGGTTTCAGAGAAGTCATTCAGAGATCCAGAGATGACTCACGGTGACAGATTCAGGGCATTTTGGATTTTTCTGCCCTCGGCGCTTCTCTGCTGCGGTTCAGAAAAAACTTTCTCCTGGTACGGATGACTCACGATACCAGCCAAACGTCAGCGGACGCAGTTTCACGCCGCTTCACCTACTTTTTAACGGATCTCGCAAAGACGTGTTTTCATCCCCTGTCCGGACATCAGACAGAAACATGAAAGCACGCTGATCTCTATCAGGTGATTACATTAAACAGATTCTGTAAAATAAAAACAAATCTGAAGCTTATGCGTTTCAGCTGTGAAACACACAGGTGTTCATTAATGCCTCATTTATACCTATATTTATACCTATATTTATACCGAAGAGACGAGGTTAGAGAAATATAACTGAAGTTTTCCCTGAAGTAAAACCTGCATTTCTTCTAAAGTCCAATTCAGACTGCAAAAGTGAGTCAGTCCCAACTGTATGGGGGGACAAAACCCTCCAAATAATTCAAAACCTTTCAAAGAAAACCGCAAAAAACAAAATTCCAAGGAAAATTTAAAAAAAAAAACCCTGCACACTTTTAACGAGTGTGCATCCTTCTGTTCCAAAGAGCTGCTGCACCAAATTCAACAGCAACATAGTAACTTATAGAAACCTATAGACACGTGTGAAGGCATCGCACTGCCAGCTGGAGCTGATCGATACCTGAGAATACTGCCGAGTCATTACAGGCGTGGCTGAAAGCTCGTTCGGTCTGAGCACAGCGCACACATCAGTGGAGATTTCGTACAGTGTGAAAGCAGCTAAACTTTGAATGAGCTACGAAACATTTTATCTCTGATAAAAAAAAACTTTATCTGTGATCAGGTCAGGAACCGCGGATCCTTCTCAAAGTCGCATTTAAGACATTCAAGCCTGAATCCAGATAACTGTTCCTGTTCCAGAACTACAAAAACTGAGAGTGCAATTCTTAATCTGCCAAACCAAAACCAAACAATCTGTAAGATTCCTTCAGAGGAAGTAAAACTTCAACTTGTAGCTTTTTCTCTCGTTATGATTTCCTTCACATTGTCGTTGAGGTTTCTCCACGCCCTAAATTAAAAGTTATCTCTCAATCTAATTGCACTCTGAGGTAAACTGAGTTTACAGAAAGGAAATCTGTTCCCGTTTCTACCGTGCACACACGTGTGCATGTACAAATGATGTTGCTGCAGACATTTGCCTGCAGGAACGTTGCAGCAGTAAATAAACACGAGCCCACTTCCTCTTCCCGGTGCTGTGGGCCACTCGAAGCGCTCTGGCAGACAAACCCAGTTCCTAGAAACACAGCGAGCATTGCTGTCTGATGGTTTCCTGGTTCAAACACGCTCACACTAACTACCTGAGGTCTCTGACGTTCCCAGCACGGTGAAGCAGCCAAGGGGAGTTTGCAGAGAAGCGCTCAGTGATCAGCCTTCACTGCTCCCGATGAAGCTAAACTGCAGAGAGGAGGGCAGTATGTGCAATGCCAATTCCCATAATGAAACCTGAGCACTCATGTTTATCTAAGCACTGATTTTTACATTTAAGCATCTAATGATGGACAATCTGCTCTCTCTTATTTTGAAAGGTCAGCTGATACAACCAGTTAAACAGTTTCAGCTGCCTCCTGGGTTGTTGCAGGGCTGGGTCCAGTCCCCTTTGGGGACTGGACCCAGCCCCCAGGACCTACACAGGACCTACATTCCTGGTGACCCCATATTGGACCACACTGAGACAAAGGGCTTGGTTATTTTACATATTAAATGTCATTGGGAGCGCTTGATTTCACTCATTGGAGCAGGCGTATTAGGAGGAGTTGGTTTGATTTAGTTTAACTTCTGTCTCTTGTGAAGGTCGAGATTTAAGCTTGTGAATGCCGGGGGAAGAGATAATTTGTTATTATGTACTCACCTGAAACCTCATCTCCTCTAATTGAGTCTTTTATAAATAGAAATTCCAAATAAATATAGGGGTGGAGCATCTTTAACAAGTGTAAATGTTCTGCATCTCTGGCAGTAAAAGGCCCTCACTATGCGCCTGTTTACTGTGGATGGCACCATTTTTATTCATCATCCTGCTGCCGTAACAGAATTTTCCTCAGTATCTATCCATCTGGCATCTGTCAATCAACGTAGCCACGCCCCAACTCACCCACTCAATTCAATTTGATTTTATTTATACAACGCCAAATCACAACAACAGTCGCCTCAAGGGGCTTTATGTTGTAAGGTAGACCCTACAATAATACATACAGAGAAAAACCCAACAAACATATGACCCCCTATGAGCAAGCACTTTGGCGGCAGTGGGAAGGAAAAACTCCCTTTTAACAGGAAGAAACCTCCTGCAGAACCAGGTTCAGAGAGGGGCGGGGCCATCTGCTGCGACTGGTTGGGATGAGAGAATCGTGATGAAGAAGGAACCTATCCACAGAGACCAAACCAAGCTGCTCTGTGGGGAATGTTCGAACACTTCCACACCAGCTTTAGCTTTCAGCTCTGGAGGTTTGTCCTCGATAAATATGAAAGACTCTCAGTCCCCATAAAGAAGCAGAAAAGTCAAGTGAGCAGACGTATAACGTCTGATAACCGATGAAAGTGAAGCTCGGGATTAATCTACATCACCACAAATATGAAATGTCATGAACCAACAGGCTGTGGAAAATTCAAAGTGGTGCCTCCGAGTGTAAAATGACGACAGTAATTTAAATCCAACGACCGAATGTGTTTTTGTTTCGGTCTCTCTGTACCTGATGAGTTTCACCCGCTGAGGCAGCCTGTAGTCTGTGCAGCAGCGCTGTGCGACCACGAGCGAACAACAAAGGGTTAAATATGTCAGTATTTCTGGGCCAGAGTGGGCGCGAACGCAGATATTACACCTCTGGATGCAGAGCTTTCATCTGCGAGCTGAAACTCGGCACCTTTCCTGTTTGTGACGCAACTCCACTTCCTTGTAATTACATGTGGGTGTCAAGGAGAGGAAATTCCCAACAGACATGAAACACAGCAGAGGTGTGTTTGTGTGTGTGTGGTTTGCAGAGAGCTCTCGGACAGGTCCGGGCCAGCAGAAGATTTTGCTGAAACTTCATCTGATGTCAGAAAACTAAAGCGCTCGGAGCACAGATCCGATCCGTGCAGGAGCGCCGAGTGTTTATCGGAGTCTCGAGGAATATTGTGAGGAAAAGCAGCTGTGGGATGAAGTCTGCGTGCAGCTACTGGGGATGTTTGTTTTACGGTAATGATGCCAAAGTTGGTTCAGACACTTAGTAAATCCAAACATTCACCAAGTTGTCCCGGCGTGTGCGCTGTGGCCGGGCTGAGGCAGCGGGGAGGGAAATAAAGGGACTGTTCTGATCTGAATAAATAAACTTTCTGAATGAGTTTGCATTTTGCACTCACCGTTTCTACAAGTTTGATTCGCCTGAAATAAGGCCTGTGGTTAACACGCGCTCAGACATTTTCCTGTTTTCTTCTCCAACGTGAAACACATCCGTGAGCGCTCCACATTCATCACACACTGCAGGCCGCTAATATTTCTATCACAGTGTTTTTTATTCCAGTGGATTTCATGCATCGAGCATAAATAAAATGCATAAAACACTTTAATGTTGGTATTAAGGAATAAACCGGCCGTTTCCTCACTTTTTGTTGCAGCTGTTTTTGATTAAACTCAACATCTGGCTTCATGAAGCTGCAGCTTCAAATCTGGTTTTATTCTTCAAAACTTTGTGGCATGGATGATCCTGTGCCAGGTAAAGCACCTGTCAGCCTCGATGATTGACTCAGTGAGTCGATCACTCGCTGCTATCAGATCCTCTTGAATAAAACTTGATGTTCATGAAAGCAGGAATGACTCAGGGCACATGGATTTACCTCGTTCCACTATTAACACCATCATCAGTCACAAAAATAATTTGTGGCTTAAGCTGCTTGAGTAGATCTCTCCTAAGTCTGCTCGAGTTTAAAAAAAACCTTTAAAGTCTTAAAGGTGTATAATGTTCATCACTGGGAGAACCTTAAAGGGAAATTCCAATTTTATCCAGAAAACTTCCTTAGAAATATTAAAGAAACTACAGGCATGAAAAGTCAGTCGTTTAGAAAAACAAAAACTCTTGTGGAAACTTCAGGGGAACTTCACGAGCACACATTAGAGCAGAGTACGTACACAGAGCATGACACCACGGGACGCAGGCAGTGAAGGTGACAGATGCCTTATCAATTTAAAAAAAACAGAGAGACGGAGCGGGTGAGTCGAGTGAGTCAGACTAGTCATCGTCCCACTGGTCCTGCCAGAGCTGGAGGGGTTTTCCCACTCTGCAGCCTCAACATGCAAACTCACCATCATCAACATCTCTCTAACACGACCCACAGATCAAACACGGCGAGTGGGAGGAACACTTCCTCATTTGTGTCAGTGACTTCATCTCATTCATGCCTACCGTACACCCAGCTGATGCATATGAGCCCATGTTGTCCTTACGTTACGGCGCTCGGTGTACCACTGGTCTGCCCGGGAGCGCTCCGATCTCACCGGCAGTCACCTTCTGTTCTTTTTAAATGCTTCTTCTCCACACGTAGCATAACATGACGAACTGAGCATCAGCCAACGCTGAAGCAACAAAAGCTGCAGCTCCTCCAAAGATCCCTCGACTTTAAAACAGAGTCAAAAACCATCGGCTGCTGCGATGACGGCAGAAAAGGTGTTTTGACAACATCAAGTTTACGAGACTGCGTGAATCACTGCCGCACAGTAACCACGACTTAGGAAGAAGGAGAAGAAGAAGAAGACGACCAAGAAAGACAAGAGTAAGAAGACAATCTTGGGCTTTAGATCAAAAAGATTAAGAAAAAAAAGAAGAAGAAGAAGACAACCAGGAAGGAAAAGATCAAGCTTCAAAAAAACCAATATGGCGGAAGTCAAAATGCCAGGCGTTAAACCAGCGTTTCCCAAACCAGGAGGTTCTGTCAAAGTTCTACGTCCGTCTTTTGTATGTACTCAGTTAAAGGGCAGAGAGCAAAGCGTGACTGAAATAAACTTCTTTTAGCCCATTGTGTCCAAAAATGAATCATTTTTATTCAGATTCAGATTCTACATCAAGAAAAAACGTGTCCTTCTCAGCTCGTACGCAACTGTTTTGACTACGTACAGAAAACAAATGAGCTCATATGATTTTTTTTTATAACGAACACTTCCTGTTCTGACCTGTGTCTGAAAGTCTGGATCTCTTTAATCAGCTTTCATATAGTTTTAATGTCAGCGAGACAAAGACAGAAGCAGGAATCTGGGGATTTCCCATGTTTTCTGGTTTGGTCGGAACATGTGGGAGCTTCAGACTCCAAACTAAACATCAACAGAAACAACACGGCAGGAAACTCGAGCTCGTGTGCTTGTGTCAGTCTCATACAGAGCGCGGGGTGGAAACAAGAGCGCCCCGGCTTCTAAAGCCAGCGACGGTCACCTCCGACCAAAACCACAGTGAAACAAAACCACCCTTCGGCAGACAATAGTAAACACCAGCCTCTCCCCTGCTCACGAGAAAAGACCGTGCAGCTTTGTAACGCCGCTGAAACGACGACTTCACGCGACTCGTTTTGACCTGTTCAAGCAGACGCAGCGACGCACTGTTTAACAGCTGGTTCCTAAATCACAAGTAAGCAGGGGCAAACCCTGCACACTTCCTTTAAATGTGATTTATGCAACTTTTCTCTTCTCTTTTTTTTACATGCTTTAAATACTCAATGCATTATTGCCCACATGTACGCAGATAGTAAACGAGACCTTTCCTCCACTGAGGACTCAAATATCCAAATCACAGGATTCTTAAGATGACTCCCAAGAGAGGTTTAAGTCTATGATATTGTTACGACACATTCATAACACAACATTTTTGTGATTTTAAAGTCGTTACAAGTTAATGCAACCCTTTAAGACAAGGATGTCAGACTCGTTTCACATCGTGGGCCACATGCTGCCCACTTTGACCTTAAGTAGGGCAGACCGGTGAAACTCCCCTTCATGTCAGCATGAAAACATTTAACCACACACTGAGTCGTCATACAAGAAAAAACAAACACTATTCAGATTACGTTAGACAGATTAAGTAGATACTTTAGTCATCCCCAGGAATCCACAAACATCCTAGGTATGCAGTAAATATTCATTAAAAATTGAAAAGTAAAAATACTGGACGTGTCCTCCCACGGTGGAGGTGCCGGTGCTTCCACTCACGTTTCCAGGCTAAAGCACAATAGGATTGTCGAGAATATCCCCTTTGAGGCCCGGGTTGTTGTAGCACACAAATCTGCACAGTTGTTATAGTCAGTGGGAAATTGTGCAACACTTTGGTCGCTCTAGTAAATGTTTATGCTCCGAACAGAGATGACGAGACTCTCTTCAAACCTGCCTTAAATAAGTACTCTCTCATCCCGGGGGATGATTTTAATTGTTGGTTAGACCCAGTTCTGGCGTCCTGCAGGTTTTAGATGCATCCTTGATCCACCACAGCTTATTTAAATGGCTAAATTACCTCCTCAACACTTCTTGAAGTTCTCCAGAGGCCTGGTGATGAACTAATCCTTTGATTCAGCTCTCGAGGCCTGGAGTTGGCAAATCTGCATCAGTCATTCAAGCCTTTGTATCTGAATATGGATTGTGTGACGCGTGGCGTCCTTCACATCCTACCAAGAGAGACCTCTCACACGTGTACCACACGTATTGGAGAATCGTTTACGCTGTCACTGACACTTAATGCCTGCAGCAGGTCCACTCCTGTGCCAATCACACCCACCTACAACGGGATTTCGACTCAACCCTTCTGTATAATGACAGAAGATGAGGCTTTTGCTTTGCTACTAACTCCTCCCCAGAGACTTCCAGCCTTGTTGTATGGGATGCCTTTAAGGCCAAATTACTACTTATTCAGCAAAAACAAGCCGCTCATGAATGAAATAGGTTAATGCAACAAGTTAAGGAGGCCGATGAGCAGTCTGCTCTTAAACAGACCATTTTTAAAAAGCATGTTGAACTCAAAACGAGGCTTGACCTACTTACAACCTACTCAACTGAACGGCGACAAACCTGATAGATAACTGCCAAGTCTTCTTAAGGTATCTAGGGCCAGGTATTCTTAAACTTTCACGGCTCATGAAAAAGTGAATCATGTATTCAGGAACATCCTGATGCATGCTCAATCATCCAGGTAAGTAAATCATCTGGACATCCAGATGAACAGAACCAACTTTTGGCGATGTATTAAAGGACTTTTACTCAGAGCTCTACACCTCAGGATCACAAACCAACTGCAACACAATTAATGACTTTCTAGCCAAACTTAACATTCCCGAAATTCCACCAGAACTTAAAACAGGGTTGCATGAACCCATGTATCAGCTGGAAGTGTCCTTAGCCATAGCTTTGATCTGGCAAATGTTAAGATCGGAATTGTTTCCTTTTGGAATTTTACAAACACATCTTTACATTACTGTCTGCACAGCTTAGTCCAACCCACACTGACTGCTTTAAACTAGGATCTCTCCCTCAGTCATTACGAAGCCTGTTTCACACTATTAAGGTAAAGATAAGAATGTATATATTAATTATTATAGACCCATTTCTCTCTTGATCACAGACGCTAAAACATGTGAAATCACAATAAAGCAAAGGAATTTCTGCAGTAGATTGAAGAGTACCTGATATTTAACTGTTTACTCTGTTACTTTGGTGTACGTCGATGGTCCTGAAGGAGGTTTTCATCTGAAACACAGTTCAAAGTCCAAAATCTATGACCTCCTTCACATTTCCCAAAGCCGTCTGCAGTGGGGTGATTCTGGCCCATGGCCCATAAGTTTGACACCCCTGCTTTAAGCTGTATGATGGTGTCACACGCCTGTAAGTGAACACAGGCCTTTATGGATAAACTATGAGAAGGACTGAGTTCATCTTTTTGGTTTTTGGGTAGTGTGAGGTCGAGCTCAGCGTGTCCAGGGTAGTTTGGTTTTTCAGTTGAACAGGTTAAGGCCACATTAAGCTGGCCGACGGACAGAAACACCGACAGCTGGAGACCCGACAGTCAAGCAGTCAGTCCTGTTATACTCCTGTGAAGGCTGCTTGAAGTCTGCCGCCTGGGACACGTGTAGTTGGTGCACTGTTATGTAAATTCTGTGCAGTAAAAAAAAAACAGGCGGGCATTTGGACATCCACACGGATGAAATTCATGGACTCAAGTCCGCGTCACGTATAATCATGACCTTAAAACTAGCTTTGATTTTATTTTCCTACAACTAAAAACTTCAACTGGCAAGATAACGTCAGCCAAAATTAACCAAAAGGGAGCTGGTTTGATCTAATAAGGCTCGTCTCAACAAACAGTGAGCTTCAACATCAGCAGGACATTCAGTTCACAGAGGAACCGCTCGGCCTCCAAACATCCAGGTGAGCTCGGTGTCATTATACTGATACTCAGGTATACAGCACATACAGCAGAGCAGGACTGGGTCTCATCTCTGGTCTTACTCTGTGTTAGCTTGTGAAAGTAGAAACAGTGTGATGAATAACTCATTTAATGGCTGTGTGTGTTATTAATAACTGTAGTTAAAGGAGCTCTGTGTTACTCTCACTGAACAATCACTGCGATGAAACTGATATAAACAATCATTTCCCAGAGCTTCAATCGCACTACGGCATTACTTTCACATTTCAGCTTCAGCTCAAAACAGGTTTAGTCAGTTTGACAACTTCAATCAGCAAAACGACAGAAACAGTCGGCCTGATGCCTCAGCAGTATTAAAGTCTCTGCAGGAAACTGTTTTATTTCCTCTTGCCGCTGCAGACAGAAGTGAACCACAATCTGATTTTAGTGCTCACTCTGTGTGCTTCAAACACTTCCTGGACCAACAAACTGGAAGAAAGTTTCAACGCTGCGCTCAGCAGGTGAGTCAGCTGACTGTAGCGAGTGCGCAGGACGAGGTTTACATTTGCAGACCGCACGTCCGATACCTGGAGAACAAGCGCAGACAGGAAGCGTTACCTTTACGGTGGGGTAGGTCTTCCTGTTCTTCTCGCTGGTGGCCCCCGGCAGACCGCCGTGAGACGGCCCCTCGCAGCCGTACCTGAACCTGAAGCCACGCTGGAAAACAAAGACAACAGTACACACCTGTATCAATGCATCAGCTGACAATCAGTCACCTTGTTGTCCTAAACACACGTTCAGATGATTATTCATTAAACAGGTGGGTGAAATCCAACTCTGAGACTCGCGATGCTTCCCTTTCTTCCTTTTGAGTCATCAGTGTTAATCCAGCTGAACTTAAAGGAGCTCTGTCATCAAATAAATATATACAAGCAGGGAGGGTGTGACATTTAGGGGGTGAAATTAGATTAAAGGTGTAAATGTTTAGGATTCAAAGCTCAAAAATTAATGGGAAATACTCCACCCAAGTCAGTGCCCTCCCACTCCCGGGATAAACCGCGCCGCTAACACTTTGACCTTTCGTCCAAAAACATCATGGCGGTGACAGAAATGCTAATGATGAGTCTTGCCAACGTGCCAACGGCTACATCCAAATTTACATACTTCAGTTTGACTGTAAATACAAGCTTGAACAGAAAGCAAGCAGCACCATGAGAAGCACGTTAAATAAAGATTTCCTGTTTAAAGTATAACAGAGATCATTAATGACCACAGACGGTCACTAAAATAGGTCGTATGAGCGTTAAATGTATTTCTTCCGTCAGTGTTAAAAATAACACCTGTAAGTTCAACACAGGAGCTTTTAACACCTTAACATCCTTCACTTTAATGACTGACTCTTTAATGACTCAGGAGGGACCCTGTTATTGAACCCCCACCACCCCCCCCCAGTCTTTGCTCCACTCCACAACTTACGACCTAACTGTGTTTCACTGTCCCATTAAAGCAGCGGTCCCCAACCTTTTTTTGCGCCATGGACCGGTTTATGTCCGACAATGAGCCTCAACTCTGGCGGCCCGGTACCAAACGACTCATGGACCAGTACCGGTCCGTGGCCCGGGGGTTGAGGACCGCTGCATTAAAGGAAGTGACATCAGAACACGGTCAGAGTGCCGTTACAGTCAGCGTGACCATCAGCAACAAAAGACAGGAAAGGAAAACAGCAGTAGTTACAGGTGTGACTTAAACAGCCAAACGTCCTGTACTGAAGTCATTTCCCTTTTTTAATTCTAAATAAAACCAATTTAAAAATAAACTAAACCCAGCGGTCAGTCGTCTCTGATAAGACGGGACAGGTGAGTGTTACCTGTTTGGGCTGCTCCACGATCTGCAGGAACGGTCCGTCCACTGAAACCACAAAGACTCAGATTCAGACAGATTCAAACACCTTCTCATACAGCTGATTTGTTTCTTTGAAAATTCGTTTTGGGGTTTCAGACAATCGAGACATTTAGAGGTGTCAGAGAACTTATCTGAGATATCTTACACATGAAATAAAGACCGAGTTACGCTTTTCTCTACACAAAGTTTCCCTGGGGTATCTGTCACCCCTCACCCTGGGTCTGGTCTCTGGTTTGTCCCCCTCAGACAACCATCTGCTGAACAACAGTGCTCTAACCAATCCTATTCAGTTCCAGTGATAAGACTCTTTGAGCTGCAGACCATCAATATTAGAGGGAGAACCCCAACGATATCCTATGAGCAGCACTGTGACACAGTGAGGGGAACTCCCTTCCACGGTTTGAGGTTTCCACGGTTTAATAACCAAAGATCATTACAACTATGTCATTATTACTGATAAGTAGACCGTAAAGAGTGTTTAACCAACATTTCAGTCTGAGCTCCTTTTTAACCTCAAACTTTTGTGATGTGCAATAAGAAATGTTTTGTGTGAGCTCATCACCTGTAGTGGCGTCTCATTTTTTTTCTAAACTCTCTTTTCAGAAATGTTTTATGTTTTTTTCTGTTGTGTTTTTTGTAATGTCATCAGTTTTTCTTAAAATATGCATCTGATAAGTAGGAGAATGTAAAACATCTTCCCTGAAATCTCGTCTCATTTGCTATCAACATCCTGTAAAACGGCTTTCAAGAAATCTGCACGCGACAGTGTTTCGAGTGTCTCCGCTTCGATTGAAATTTCGTGCCATCTGAAATGTCTTTTGCGGTGATCCTTTCCTGAATTGTCGTTTGTAAAACTCGTAACGCGGCCGTCTCGCGCAATGTCGATTTTCTAAAACGCTGAGATTTAAACGTCATCTTTCATTCAGTTTGGTTTGATGACACATTTTCTAAAATGTCACGTTATGTTTAATGTCTTTTGCGACATATTGTGTTTCATGTCAGGTTTCCCGTCATGTGAGATTCTGTTTAATGTCGGTGAAATGTTGTCTCACATGAAATATGAACTGTGAAATGTCGACCTTGTTGCGTTTCCTCTGCCATCCATATGTGCAGGAGAGGCCGGTTGTATTTTTCCACACGTTAAAAGAAGAAATGCTGTAATCGCCACTTTCTGTGTACCACTGTAGCCACATGTAAATGTAAAGAGGAGCCAGTTTCCCCATGTGAGCTACACCTCTGTCTCTACTCAGAGAAACGATGTGTTGATATTAAAGGGAAGTGAGAGCTGAGCTACCGTCCCACAGCCACCACAGAGGACACGTCATGAAACTCCTCTTTCACTTTACCTTCATTTTTTCCCCCTCAACAGAAATTCACTTTTGCAAAAAGAAAGTGGAGTTTCGGAAGTTTTTCCTCCCCAGCAGCATCTGTTCAACCTGTGTGTGGTTTTAATGTTTCTTTCACACATGTTATAGAGCCTTCAGCTTCTGTCTGAACAAAGGCTTCATTCATGCCGTAACGGTCCATATAAAGCTCTCATTGTCTGACATACCAGTCCAAGTCAAAGTCCATTTGTCTGACTTTTCCTGGAACTTTAAACCAAATCACACATGAAATTTATTGTCGGGTTTTTTTGGTAAATATTTGGAATACCAGTGCCATAAGTCTTAGTGGGTCCCTTTAAATTTTGAGTATTACCCAAACAACAATGATACGTGTGGATATAACGACCACAGTCAACCAAACGACGAGTGTCAGGAAGCAAACACTGCAACAGGAAAAGAACTAAACTGCTTTTCAATCAGGCTCGAGTATGTAAAGTATGAGCTCAACACAATTACACAAATGGGGCAGCAGATACTTTATCTCCACCTGCGTGTTTTTTATTTCATGCTAACTACACAGTAATAACCTCAGGAGGGCGGAGTGAGGGAGACCAAAGGAAACCGTCTGAAAACAAAAGACCTGACAGCTTTTGTGGGGACGACAGGAGAGACAGGCGTGATGGTTGCGTGACAGTGTGCTATTTTTATGCACGAAGATTAAGCCGTCATCTCAAAATGACAAGTTTAAGAGATGATTAATGCCACCCATGGCTGCTCTTTTTTTTCTTCAGAAATTATACTATTGTTCAGAAACAAAGGGGAAATCCAGATAAAAACAACACAACACATTCAAAGTAAATAAACTCTGAAAGTACAGAGGTCAAATCAAACCAACAGGAAAGTCCTACATGACGTCTTATTGTTGGACCAGCAGTCTGAACCCCAAAGACACCCACTCTGACAGTGTGGGACACACCTGCAGGACTCTCACCTGTCCGCAGAGACGTCTGAGGCATCGCAAAATGTGGAAACTCCCATGACGAGTCCATCATGATGTTATCAAACATCTGCAGTAAAGACAAAAACACGAAGTCTGACTTTAGACTTAAATAAACACAGGAAGACATTATTATTATTTAGTTCTTGTTCTTCACATGTGTGCAGCTTGAGTGATGTTAACTGCAATAATTCATGTTATACCAAAGAAACAATGGTCCATTAACGAGAACAGGACAGTTATTAACAGCAGCTCGGATCAGAGCCCCACATCAGTGCTTCTCAGGGTTCAAGCAGAAGAGATACCCCAGCATGGTCTGTTCAAAGAGACTGCATAAATCGGTGCCACAAAGGAACCACGACCAAGGAGAAAGATCAATAAGAAGGACAAGAAGAAGAAGACAAAGAAGGAAAAGAAAGCACTGACATAGATCAGGAATATACAAGCAAATCAAGAAGAAGAGACCGATCAAGACAAGGAAGAACAGGTATAAGACCACGAGGAAGACAAAGACCGATAAGTAGAAGATGAAGCTGTTTAAGAAGATTAAGGCCAAGAAGAAAAAGAAGAATAGGAAATAACAAGAAGAGGGTGACGATGTAGACGAACATCGAGAAGAAGATCACGCAGATGAAAAATATAATCAATAAGAGCTATACAAAGACCAAGAAATACAAAGAAGATGAAGCTGGAGAGGAGGAAGGAGTTGAAGATGACAACCAGGAAGGAAAAGATCAGAAGAAGATCAGAGGAGAACCACAGAAACAGTAATGATCAAAAAAAGCTAAAGAACAACTGAAAAGTGCTGCGTGGAAAATGTTCCAAAGAAATGAGTTACTGTAATCACATTACATTTGTGTCTAACACAGTAATAGAAAGTATTAGTGCACTAGGCTCGATGATCAGCACAGGTAATCAAACAACAAAGCTGCTGGCCAATCACGTTCTTCAATAATCTGCATGATGTTGGACAGAAGTGACTCAAAGAGCCTTTTTATGGCTCCGTTCACGAGGAAGAAGGAACAAAAATAGCAGCACAGTTTCCTAATGTTGAGGATCGATATTGATACTGTCTCATTTACATGCACACATGTGAGCACTTCCCACTTTAATACCACTTTTCTAAAAAGGTTGTGATACCTTGATACTGGTGTAGATCCAAGTATTTCAAAGGGTTTAAAAAGGGGGGAGATTGTCTCCTTCAGAGCAGAAATATGGGCTGTTATTTGTCAGCCTGCAGAAATGGTGACATCTCCCACTGGTTATTAAAGTCATGTTTTTGGAGCCTGCTGCTTTTTTCGTCATCATTTTGTCAATGACATCCTAAAACAGCCCTTGCTTTGTCTCCCTTTCTGACTACAAAAGGAGCATAATTTACCAAATCATCATCATATTGGGTCAAACACGACTTAAAATTAGTAAATGAGACTATAAATGCATCAGGAAACTGTTTACTGAGGTCGCAGAGGTAAGATCATTTTTCTGCAGACCTCTGTTCTCTCTGACTGCTCTTTATACCCAGAATAGCCGGCCCCAAGCTGGACATTCTAAAAAAAACATGGAGGCTGAGCCCCAGGTGAGTTTACCTGGTTGGGAGTGTGTAGGTAGTGGTCGTCTCCGGCCATGGTGGCGTCTGCAAAAGGTCGAGCAACACGTCAGTTAAACCCACGGAGTGACATCAGCTATTATTATTATGAGTAAGAGACCAGAATGACAAAAGTGCTCTGTTCCTTCTTCTTATTTTTATGTTTTCTGCTCATCACAACACGTTTAATTATAACTGAGGCTTTTTATTTGCACTCTACACAACCGTCTTCACCTTGAATTAGAATTCTATATGAGTAAAATGACTCACTCTCTAAATACTCTACTTTCTGTTACAACTACTTCATTCACAACTTTCTTTTTTCAAAGCGACCATTAAAAACGATCAACTGCAGAACTGCAACAATTAATGGTTAATCTCTTATTTTAGCAACAGAAAATTTACTGAAAGCAACTTTATTGACCGTTTATTTGAGGGTTAAAGGCCTTTTTAGAGGCCAGCAGTTACTTTGAACATTTGCTAAAGTTTTTAATTTAACCAGTAACTGCCGACAGCTTTTTCCATCCTCTCACTCGTTACGTTTTCCCACATGTTGGGAAGCCTTTGTGCACTTGCAGTGACAGAACAGTGGCATTATAATACTATTTCTCTTCTCCTGTTTCTCTGTGTGCTCCACTCCGTGTGTGAGGAGATGCACCCACAGCGAGACTGAGAGCAGGGACAGGAGGAGTACCAGCAGTAAAGACTCTCACACTCAGCTCAAATACAGAATACATTTGTAAATGCATTTTTCTTTTCTTTCTTTTTTTGGCATATTTTATTTTAGAAAGTTAGAGAAGCAACATTAAGGCTCAACCTGATGTTAGCGTACAGATGAATGGCGTTGAAAGTTGAATTGGTGCATCCCTTTTCATGATGCATATAGGCCTGTAAATGGTAAACGAACTGGTTCTTAAAAACTGCATTTTATACCTGACCACTTAGAGCAGGGGTGGGCAGATGTGTCTTAAACCAACACAGCTGAATTAAATTGCTAAATTACCTCCTCAGCATGTCTTGAAGTTCTCCAGAGGCCTGGTGATGAACTAATCATTTGATTCAGGTAAGTTGACCCAGGGTGAGATCTAAAACCTGCAGGACACCGGCCCTTGAGGCGTGGAGTTGCCCACCCCTGACTTAGAGAGGCCTGACCTAGAGGCCTTTATAAAAGTTGCCTTTTTGTGTGTCTTAATACAGTCTTTCGACCGATATTAGAGTGAAGGCCATTTCACTTGTATGTCACTTCCTCCTTCACTTAACACCTAAGCTGCTTTCACTGCAGCCCAGAAACCACACAACAGCCCGATCACACAGTAAATGGTCTTTGAAGGTATGCTGTTGGACAGGAGCTGGGGGGGGTTGGTGGTGGGAGGTATAGACCTGCTGCACAGGTTTCTTAAACAAGCATGCAGTTGTTATTTTTAACTGGAACTCAGTGGCTGTTATCATTATTTTGGAGCTGTGTGGATTAATGAGCGTCAAACTACCAGTGAATCTGTTAGAAACTGCACCTCACTTCACAATGGGGACACACCACTGACACTTTTTTGTTTGCTGTTTCAGTCATGTTAAATAAGGCTTTGATAAGTCCTTTATAAGGAGTAATAAAGAGCTAATATCATAGTATTTAAGCTGGTAAGCCGGCTTTGGTCTTGTATTAGAGTATTTCAGGGAATTTGGAAATTCTTGTACCAAAAAAGAAGAAGAAAAAGAAGCAGAAAAGAAAAACACAGAGACAGTCCTTATTGCATTAGAATGAGGAATATGTATTAGGGTTGTTAATTCAAGAGCACAAACTTTGCTGAGCAAGCTGTGAAACATGCAGGCAAAAAACTAAATGTAAACAGTTGACATGACGGCAGTAAACACTCGGGCTTTAGTCCCGTTGAGAAATTTACCTGCTGACTTCTAAAAACGTGACTGTGGAGGGAAATACTTCCATCTCAGTTCATCACACAGTGAGACCTCCAGCACTAACCTGCAGAAGTAGGCCAGGTGTCTCCAGCAACTAACTTCCTCAACGATTAATGAAATTTGAGCACCTTTGAAGGTTTCATCATTTTTGCTTTCTTACGCTTGTGCACGTGTTTCTCGTGAGTTTACCTGAGTTTTCTCCTTATATTTATCAATTTTTATCCTTTTCCTCAAAAATTGGATTTGCGAAGTGCACATTTTTCTCGTGACTCTGCAGGTCTTTCATAAATTTGCCTCTTTTTTGGCCATCTTATTAAATGTTTTTTGGCTGTTGTCGTTTTTTATTGTCAGTTTATTAATTTTATACCTTGTGAACTGAGTTTTCTGTTCTCGGAAATCACTCTTTGTTTATTATATATATAAATATATATTTAACCTTGGGTGATACACAGTTTGTAATACACAGTCGTATATACCCGATAATAACTACTGATTATTGATCGCTGACACTTGTTACCTGTCAGCAGCATCGCTCGTCCTCGTTCTCACGAGCGTGCCTGTGTGATCTACGTTAGCTCTGCGGCTAACAGCTAATTAGCTCCTCCGGGTTGTTGTTGTTGTTGTTGTTCATGTGGCTAAAGCGGCCGTTAAAGCAGGCAGACTGTTGGCCGGCGCTTCCACAGCACCGACCTCAGTACAGCTCGAGTCTAATCTCGGGCTTCAAGTCAAAGCGAGCCCCGTCCTCGCTAACCGCTGCCTGTCCTGGCTGCCCGGGAGCTAGCCTCGTAGGTTCCGTATGCGGAGAGCGTAACACAAAACTTCGTATTAAAATCTGCCAGTTACACCGTCCTTCGCTATTCACTTCGATACACCAAACATTGCGATATAAATGAATAGATACCAGAATCAGCCGACCCCAGTCATGTATTCGGCAAGTCTAAAATCCACACAGCAGTTCAGTGTAAATAAAAATGTCGTTTTAATTATTTTGTCAGTTTAACAATTCTGCCCTTTGGCTACCAAAGACCAGAGCGAGTTAAACGAGATTAAAAGTTGGATTAAAGTTCAAACTTTCACTAACCCGAGAATTTGATGTTTGATTAATCGTGGCCGAATTAGCTGGTGGGTGTTACAAACACGTAATGCACTTTAACGGTGACGTAAAATATTCCCGAGGCTACTGACATTACAGAAAATAACATCTTACCGTTTTTAACATGGAGTTTGGCCCGGGGTCCTAACAGTTACCTGGCTAATGAGGAAGTAAGCAGCAAAACAAAGCCAGCTGCCAAAGAGTTGTAACGGGTCCCGCTGAAGTTGTGATTATGAATGGAAACGTGCAGCTAGCCGGTTAGTTTAGTTAGCTGGTTAGTTAACCAGGCTGTTACCTGTTTCGGTCGGTCAGGTGAAGAGTTCTCTTTGAGTGACAGTCCTCCTCAGTTCGCTTCACTTGTGCACATCACTGCGCCATGCTGAGCTACCGATCCATCCACTTTACCCGGAGTACGTCATGACGCGACACGGGCGCGTCATTACACTTTAACAACTTTAATGAACAATTTTAATCCGAGTGGGATTATAATCCAGAGGGAGCGACAGCAGTCCCGCAGGTGACACTGACTGACGATAGTCAGTTGAAATAAAGTTGACTTGATTTCCTTCCCCACTGGAAATTCCCTGTGACGTCCAAATTAGGCAGAGAGCGGGGAAAACCACGAGGTCTCACTTCGAGAAGAAAACACAGTCTGAAGAATATGAATCAGAAACCGAGTCCTCCTGTTTCACCTCAAAAGAGGAACTGAGCCCAGACAAAGCAAAACGTGTTGAAATACACAGTAACAGCTCAAGTTACACACATAGGTTAGTAATAATTCAGTCCTGCATTAGAAATACCACAGTAATACATTACAAAAGTACTCCAACTCCATACAGACGCATTAGCCTTGAGACACATGAGAAAGGTTTTGTTACAGGACAGACAGTGGTACAAGTATAACTTCTAGGGATTTTTTGTAATAATAACAATAATAACAGTAAAAACATTTTTTTTAAGTTTTACATCTCAGAAATAATTAGAATTAAAATTAATTTATGTCATTCTTCGAGCTGATTTGTCAAATATGAGCAGGGACTTCCGTCTAGATCGTCTTTAGTTATAAATGCTGTACTTAAGGAAAGGTACAAGAAAATACCCCAGGGCCCAGTCACAGGTGCAGCAGTCTGAGCAGAGAAGCCCACCTCCCTCTGTAGTCACCTATTGCTCATCCGAGGGAACGCCGAGCCGTTACCAGGTAAGCCGAGAGACATAATCTCACCAGTGTGTCCTGGACCTATCCCAGGGCCTCAGAATCAGATACCTGAATCACATACTAACACCGTCTATCAGGAGCCTTGGTGTTAGTATTGACTCAGCTCTGACTTTGGATGCCCATGTAAAATCTTTGGTTCGCTCCTGTTTTTATCACTTGAGAAACATTGCTAAGCTGAGTCCCATTGTATCGCGCTCCGAATTAGAAATTGTCATTCATGCATTTGTTTCATCTCGTCTGGACTATTGTAATTCTTTGTTTACTTGTTTATGTAAAGCCTCTTTGGAGCGTTTTTAGGTTTTAGATTCTGTGAAGCACTTTGTGATTTTTATCTTGAAAGGTGCTATATAAATAAAGTTTTACTTACTTACTTACCTGAGCTGGCTCTACTCTGAGTCCCTTCAAAATGTCTGAACTCCTAATCTCTAAGGGAGAGCCCAGCCAGCTTTTGGAGAAAGCCCCATTTCTCCCATCTCATTCTTCCAGTCACTACACAGAGATTGTGACCACAGGTGAAAGTAAGAACGTAAATGGGCATTACACTCAGATCTCTCTTTTGCATGACAAACCAGTACAAACCAGAGTCCACATCACAGACATCTCCCGCTCCACCCTCCTCTCACTTGTGAACAACACCCTGAGGAACTTAAAGTTCTCCACTTGGGTCTCTAACCCAGAATGGGCACTCCACCCTTTTCCTGCTGAGAACCGTGCTCTTGGACTTGGAGGTGCCGATTCTCATTTGTCGTGTTTCACTTCTGTCCATAAAAACTATGAACTGAATCTGTGACAACACCCACTCAGGAGGAGTCCGACTTATTACCAGCAATGTGGTTGTACGTGGCTCATACAGGAACAGAATGGTTCATTAAAACGGGCCATACAGCTCTGACTCCTGCAGGGACATGGTCGAATGATTTGTCCAAGTCCACAAAGCACATGTTGGACAAACACCCAAACACCCTCAAGTATCTTCGAGGATAAAGAACTGGTCCAGTGATGGACGAGTCGTTCCCCTCATCACCAAATTTGCTTCCTCTACGGAAGACATGTCAGTGGGATTGAGCAGATCCTCGAAGGCTGCCTCCCACCACCAGACTGTATCCTTAGTTGAAGTCAGCAGGACCCCACCTCCACTATACACCATTTTAGTGGAGCTCTGCTTTCCCTCCTCAGATGGTTTGCTAGCAGTTGATATGGTGGAGTAGGGCCTCCACTCTCCTACGAACGACTGAGCTCTGCAGGCTCTGAGAGAGTCCTGGCACCCCTTGAATGAAGCTCATTTCTACTGCGTTAGAAGTACCTCAGTGTGAAGTACAAATAGGAGTACAGAAACCCTATAGGGACATATTAGCATTACCAGATATATATGTATAAAAAAGAATTCTGTAAAAGCAGAGATGGCAGAAAAGTAACTTACAGGGGAGAAAGAAAGCTTTTTAAAATGTAGTTTTAGGCAAAATCTGAATTTTATTTCTGTGTTTTTCTTTCCCAGAGACAAATAAATATAAACTTATATAACACTTCGAGATAACTTCCCAAATAGATGCCCACAGGTATTGCCGAGATGGCTGGACTTTGAAAAGTCCATCCAAAAAAATAAATAAAAGATATCCATCCAATAGTTTTCGTAAGTACAGAAAAACATTAAAGTTCTGTTTTAGCTCGTCTTTAAAAAAAAAAGAAAGGTAAAAGCAGTGTGTTTATTACTAAAACTACTTCATTACAGGTAAAACCCTCCTTTTAAAGTACAAAAATGGCCAAAGTATTAGTAATGACACCATAAATACTCAGGTACAAATGAACAAAACCACAGCAGGTGTAAAAAATTCAAAGAAACAGGTAAAGTGTACAAGCACAGTAGCAAATGGTAACACGTTTCGAAGTACAAATTAAAAGTACCACAGTGAAGAAACACAGATAAGCATATATTTTTGAACACATATTAGTAATAAGACTTTAGAGAGAATTCTGTAGCAAAGATGGTAAAAGTATAACTTTGAGGGCGGGGAAAAAAAAAACTTATCTAGGGGCAAAATCTCTGAGTTGTTCTAAGTTTGATGTTCCAGAGACCAAAGAAATTCAAATCAGGTTAAAAAACGCTTCAAAATAAATCAAACAAGTGCCCAGAGGTGTTCCTAAAAAGAGATAGAGTACAGGGGCTTTCCTCTAGAAGAACTTTGTCTCATCACACTCATGAACACAAGCTTTGCTGTGCATTTAAAGTATACAAATTTACCACAGCACTGGTAACACCTTATTCTGAAAAAAGTGTTAAGTAAGGCTTTTAAAATCGTAGTCAAGGTTCTGTTATAAATCATGCTTTTGAAGTTGTATTTAAATAAAAAAAAAATCAATGTAGATTTGTAATGATACTGTGAAGGAATACTCTATTACAGGGTAACAATACCTACTAGTATTAGCAATAACACATTCAGTGTAGAAATATACTGAAACTGGTAATTTTATAAAAGGTTCATGTGTATGAGCAATACCACATTCTAGAAGTACTCAAAGTATGCTTTTTATTTAAATAAAGTTACACAAATCTATCAAAATATGAGTAATGACGAATATAGAACAAGGTATAAAGTACAGTATAAAGTATGACTTATAGTATAGAATGCATTATAAGTACAAATAAACAAAGATATTGTCATTCCTACATTTAATTTTACATAAATTGGAGTGCACGTGTATTAGTATAAATACTCTTACAGGAGATGTTTTCCAACTTTTAAACATCATGTAGAAGTTACTCGCAGCTTACTCGTGTTAATATACTTGCACTGTTTTCATAAACTGTGGTGCTGATTTCATGCTTGGCTTGTCATTAAAATCTTCATAATGCGGGGTGAGAAGTCAAAGCGCAGAGTGAGCAATCGTTTCCCTCGCAGGCCATCTTTGATGAGTTGTTCGCCACCTGCCCCCTGCTGGTCAGGCAAAGCATCACCACAGCTGCCGCTCTGACACCAGCACACATGAAATACAAGCGTCAACTAATGAAGCCGAAACTAGAGCGCCAAAAGTAAAAAAAACCAAAAAGAGACAGAGAAAAGCTGCAGTTCCTTTAATGTCCAGCAGAGGCTCCGGCAGTGAGTCAGTCCCCATAGACTCCCATGTTAAAATCTTCAAATTTACAGCAGAAATAAACACGTTTACAGCTTGATACATAAACTGTTTTGGGGTCTGTAGATAATTTCTGCCTTCTTAACACCTGTATGAGGTGGAATGTTTGTTTTATTAAGGTTTAAAGTTTGCATTATTAGAGGCGTGGCCTCTTATTTCAAAGGTGGATGGTGACATGAAAAAGCAAAAATTGATTTACAAAACGAATGCTAATGCTAATCGTCACATTTACTTTTTATAATGATTAAATGATCACGTGCTTTTCTAGCTTGACTAGAATGTGTGACTAGAATGCTCCATCAGAGGAGAATGGAGCATTTCTTTCCTAAAAGTCTTATTTTCAAACAAGGATTATATAAGAAACAGACATAAAACCATTTAATGGAATGTGAAACTGAATATTCATGGGTTTAGATGCAGATTTACAGGATTCAAATATTCAGTTTGGATTCAGGAGACAGACACTATCTCAACTTTTAAGATTAGGCTTCAAACTTTTCCTTTTGCTAAAGCATATAGTTAGGGCTGGGTCAGGTGACCCTGATGTTAATGTTAATTTCCCTCATTTTCATATTTACCTGTACCTGGAGAATCACAAATGGTCTTCTGTTGTGTTATTAATCTTTAGAGTGTGAACTCTGTGGAACAAAATCAGCAGGTTCTTATTCACAGTTTTATTTTTCAAATATCAGACAAACCACCAAAGCTTAGGTCTTAGTCGGTCTTTAGTTTATTACAATTAGACACATAATTTAAACATTTTATATATATATATATATATATATATATATATATATTCTAGATAATTAGCTTTAGTTATGACAACATTCATGATAACCTGAACGTCACATCTAAGAGCATCTGTAAAACAATTAGTGCAATTTATAATTTACAGTTAAAACTTAAAAAAACAGCTTCTGTCTGCAAAAATAGACAAATCATCTATTCAGAGAGAATTACAGCAACAGAAAACTGGAGGCACATCAGCTCAGAGTGAACACACCACTGCACCAGCAGGAAACACACACGTTAAACATCAGTGCACTCAGGGCGTCGAGGCGTGAAGGCCACGCCGACCTCAGCCTGGTGTATGATACTTTGGACACTACAACGGAGGCACAGCGGATGCAGAGAAGCAGAAAGTCAAAGCGGCGAGGTTTGACACAACAGAACGACTCGTATGGCACGGTGCGAATTATAGCGTGGCAAAAATGAATGAAGGCTTCCCCAGAAATGTGAGAAAGTGACCCAAAATCTCTGCATGCCTTTCAGCTGGGACATTCTTTAAGACCGAACAGGTGAAACAACGCTGATGAACTGTTTTTAAAGGAACAGGGGTGTGGCCGAAGGGGGCGGTGGGGGACCAGGCCCTTCTCAAAAGTGTGTCGTCACATCCAGATAGTCACTCCCATTGTTCTCAATGCTTCGCTGTAACTGTAACTATATAGCTATATAACTATAGACCCCCCCCCCACATGGCCTCACAGTGGTTTGGTCCAATGCTATTCCATAACTCTTTACTCAAAACAAAACATGTGCGAGACATTCTTCTGCCCATCAGCAGAATTAAACATATTTATCATCAATTTTGAAAACAAGTCTTCTGGTTTTGATCTCTTTCAAACTGTGAATCCATTTTAAGGATGAATTCTGGTGTAGTTCTTTTGCAGAGAAGTTACACTTCCTGCCCACTGCGGAGACACTAAAACAGAATCAACCACCTTTAACGAAAAGTTAACACAGACGACTGACTGACCAGAAGAACGTGGTAACACATTAAGACTGGTGGGGGTATGGAGTGTTTCAAAGGTGTGACTGCAGCAGTTTTACTCATCGTCATCAGTGAAGACGAGCTCAAACGCTGCTGTAAAAGCACAAAAATGCAGCTCTACATGGAACAAAGCTACAGTACTTCATGTAACAAACACTCTGACAGTACTTCATAAGTGTACACTTACACAACTACATCCTACTGCCAGTAGACACACAGCATCAAGTGTAGGAAAACACAACCTGCCTGAACGCACTTCAATCAGAGGTCGACTTGCACCTCTGTTTAAAGCCAGAAACCCTCGCTGTTGTTCATTATTAATCCTTTTTCTGCAGCGCCTCCTGCTGTGTCCACCAGGTTCTGCAGTTTGTTTCTCTAGAATAGGTGAACCAAAATTAAATGTTGCTGTGTATGAAAGTGTCTTCCAACCCTTCATTTTCTTTTTATTACAAGCTGATGTCTGGTTCACTTGTGGACGATGAGTCTGGGAAACCAGGAAATGTGAAATTTAAAGAGCTATAATTCATAATTTGGTAGGTTTTCAACATTTACAACAACCAATTTATCTTTATATACTAACCACATGTGATGTTATCAGAGGAGACCTATTCTGCTTATTTCCAAACTCCATACTTTTATTCTGAGACTCCAGAGATGCTAAAAAGCCACTTCCTCTTGATTGGCCAACTTAAGGAGGCCTACCAAGGGGCAGCTAATAGAGCTTTCAGGCTGTACTTTGTAGCCATGCACGGGTTAACTGATAAAGAAAAAAAAATTCAGGCATACAAATGCTAATTTTTCCAATCACTTTTACATATGTTTAGCTGTGAGGCAGTGGCTGGTGTGATTTGGTGCTATACAAATAAAACTGACTTGAATAGAAATTCAGTATTTCAGTTTTGGAGATATTTAACATGAATATCTAACAACACTGAAATGCAGAAACATTGCATATGAGACAGAAAAATGAAGAAACGTGTAACATGTAAAACAGCAGAATGGTGGAAACTGGCCAAAAGAGCGACTGCAGAAAAGGGTTGAATGAAGTCATCGAGAGGTATTTCACCTTCATTAGTCAGATTTCATAAACTTCATTTTAAGGTTTAGAAAATAAAAACAACATCCTCGAATCTCAAACCAAGCACAGAACGACTATACATATTTTATCTTCTAGCACCAAATAACATGAAAATAAATCTATTAAGCACACGTTGATTTTAAGTGTACAAATTACAGCCAAAGTACAGTTATTGAATGTTTTTGAGGCTACATCAAGAGCTCGAACCTTCAGCATTTATTCAGTCTATTTCAAAGTTTTGAGCTTCTTCATACTCTGGGAATGTGAACAAAGTGCCCCTTTCATTAAGTCCCTTCTCTCAGAGTCTTTAAAATGGCAAATGGAGCTCAACTTTGAGTCCTTCCTTTATAGTTAAAGAGCAGGACTCAGCAAAAAGGGGGAGATAAAAGTTAAGGTTGGACTCTGCTGGCTCTGTTGTTTTAGGTCTGGTTTAGATTAAGTTGGGATTTTTGGATAAATTCAGCAATACAGAATTTAGATCGGATGAAGGCATCATCTACAAAGTGGTACTGAAAATGAAATAATTCGATTTATTAGATTGTTGTGCAAGGTCAACACACCTCTTACACAATATTTGAATTACTTTATACCTGACCTCATTGGTTACATTTACCACTGACCTTTTCACCTTTTCTATTTCAGTAACATTCAGACGAATTGAATTTGTTATTTTGTTTGTATATGCTATCTTTATAAGCTTGCTTAACAATATAGTATCTAGATTAGTTTAACTGAAACCCTCAATTTGACTTATAAAATAAGTAGCCTAATATTACTCATACACATAGCAAAGTTCTGTTATAGCTAGTTCTCTAGCTAATATTTTAAGCTTACATTGCCTAGCTACATTTTTTTTCAATTTTCAGGAAATGAAAACAGAATTTTATTTCAGTTTTCAGTTCCTGATATGGACAATGAACAAATTCAATCTTTGAATAGCTTACTTTTTTTTTAAAAGTAGCTAACTAGCCTGCTAAGCTAATAATTTTACTACTTTTAATTGAGAAAACTAGCTTAGCAGGAAGCTTTTTTAATGTAACAGGTCTTCTAGATAATTTCTGGCACCTGTAACTAAAATGGCACACAGTGAGTTAATTTTCTAATGACTACAAATTTAAAATAACTTTTATTGAGTGGTTTTGACCTCTGCATTTTAAAAACGGACTCAAATGAATGATTTTCAGGTTACAAAATATTAGTCACGTTTTTACACTAGCCAAAAGTAAAGATTAGTGCTAGCTAAGTAACCATTCACTTAGCTTGCATGTTCAAGATGTTTGTGTTTTGTTTAGCTGCAAATGAACTTAATGAACAAAAGCAAAAATCCTGTTTAATAAACATACTTTCAATGTGCCTTAATGCACACAACTGACTAAAAAAAACTAGCTAACAAGCTTGCACAGTTACTAACTGCTACAGGAGTGTTATTAGGCTAATTTTTGTATCTGGTACACAATTTTCAAAATTAAATTGATTTAAAGTAATGGCCACTGTTTGGGTTGTTTCTCAGTATCTTGAATAACCTGACGGCTTCAACAAGTGCCATCACACACTTCTGTAAAATAAAAATTAAAAAATGTAAAAAATTAAAACATCAAAAAATATCAAAACGGGCTCCTGTCAGTAAAATGTTTGTCTCTTTAATGCTATCCTAACTGGATGTTCTGTAGTTCTTATAAGAAATCTGCACTTGTATGTTATACTGTATATATATATGTATGTATTCTTCTGCTGATTGAAACCAAATTATTAGGTGGCCTTTGGTATTTTTTAAAATTATTCTAAATTATCTTGGAGTTTCTCTTGTTTTATATTTTCCAGTAAACACATTTCTATTTAAGACAAGCTTTACTGCAAGACTAATCTGTGTGAGCATCAAAAATAAACAGCTCTCCCTTTGCTGAACTACAACCTGCTCCAGGCTTTACTGTTCTTCTTTCCAGCTAACCCTGCTTAGCATAGCTCACCCTGATCTGACTTTAATTACGCTCAATAGTGTAAAATTTCTAAACTGTGTGTAAATATTACTAAAGGATTTCACACAAGAAATCAAGAAGAAGAAGAAGAAGAAGAAGAAGAAGAAGAAGAAGGGTAGTGGGGCCTCCCAGGAAATTACTGCTTTCGAGAAACATTATGTAGTAACAGCTTTTAAAAAAACTGCCCGTCGCTGTCTTCAGTATCCGCTTTCTTCATATTTTCTGATGACAAACAGACCAACACTGAGGTCATAATTATTCTATAGCTGCACATTATTTTTCACGACTAAAGTTATTATATAATATATCAGCTGACACTGAGTACTGCTACTTACTGCACATATACAGTCACGTCCGGACAGATACTTTAAATACTTGTCTAGATTTTTTTTTCCAGCGCAGAGCTTATTCATACTGAGAAATGGTCAAAATTCAACACAATTTCTTTTGCAGTCTATGCAGACATCCTGCTGTGAGTTATTTACTGTTAAGTAAAAAAGTTAGGAGTGGAATTATTAACCACGGTTACTGTGATTTCTGTAAATGGTCGGCGCCTGGACAGTAGGCATGAAATGCAATCCCAAGTGATCCATGACTTTCTCCCACTTTGCAAGACGGTAAACGTCCACGAGTCTGTGGTCCGTCTGCGGCTCGTTAGTGTCGCTGCAAAGCTACATGAGTGAATTCACAGCTGGCTGCTGGCACCAAAACGGTTACCCATGTGCAGTAGCAGGAGGCAGATAACAGGCAGGACGGCCATTATCGGGTGATCGGGTCAGTGTCCATCTCTGGAAGAAGGACTATCTGAGTGTCCGTCCCTCATGTTAGCTGATGACTTCTTCTGCTTCTGCTTGGACTTCCTCAGCATCCGAACCTACAAACGGCAGAAGACGACAGAAGTGTCACCCTAAAAACTCCCAAACAGTTTTTTTCCTCACACAAACATATTCGAGGAGCCAAAATGGCTCCAAACTAAAACACAGATCATCTACAGGTGTATACATACTATATAACAAGCTACATGTAAAGATAAACTACAGGAAATACAACTGTAAAGATCACCTTCAAAGTAAAAGTTGGTCTTTACCATAGAACTTAACATGTTACAAAAGGTTCTACTTTTACTTTGAAGACATTCCCCGTTTCCCATTCGCATCACACTTTTAATAGTTTAAGTACCACCGGGAGAGTAGTAACTTCTATGCAAACTGTAGGAGACCACATGAATTAATCATTAGCATCCATGAGGATCTGTCTGGACTTAATAGAGTTAATAATAAAAGTTAATTTCTGCAGTTTAATTTGCAGTTTTTGCCGATTATCACAATAATCGCTGTATTTTCACAAAAAGATTGCATGTAATTGCCAACTTGACCCCATCCAATCACAGACTGATAGCAGATAAGAGATAACGCTGTCTAATTGCTGTTTCATTGCCATCTTGATGATTTCAAGATTGAAACTGACTGCGACTAGCTGCAGACCTGATCCCCGTCTTTGAACCATTTCAAAGGCGACGAGATCGTCAGTTCTTTGCACACGGTCACAATAATTTTGGTTGTGCCACAGTCTCCGGCTCTGATTTCCCTGGTGTGATTGTAAACACTGAGGAACAGGATGACTCCAGAAGTCACGGTTTTCAATTTCAGTTTGTGAATTTAGAAACAAAAGTCAAAGAACCAGCTGCTTTTTCTTTTGAATTAACTACGAAAGACCAAAGAGTGCATGCCTCAAACATCCTGAATAAACTAAAATACGCAATACAACGAGAAAACGTTGTTTTCTTTCAGTAAAGAGACATCAAAGCAAAAACATTCAAACACTACGGAATGTCCCTCTCCCGGCTATTCTCGGGGATAAACCATTATTGCAAAGTATCAAACTGCATAAAAGTACCACTCAGGATCTGACTCAGGTTACTTAGAGACAAAATGTTTGAAAGTGATGCAAGAATACTACACGGGCCAGCATATGACACAGAATTCACCCCTGCAAAAATTGATAGTAGGTTTAAATATTGGTGCAACTTTGGCATTACTGCATATTGGAAAATATCATCTGAAAAAGATTTAGATACCTTTCAACAATGTCAGACAGTAACAACCTGGAGAGGGGTGACTTCTTTAGATATCTCCAATTAAGACATCACTTTAATACAGCTATTGTGTCCAAGGAGAGAAAGCCTTTAGTTCAATTTTTTATAGATGCATGTAAAGGGAAACTGACAAAAAAACAAATCTCTATGACCAACTCAATACTACAGATAGAAAGGAAACTGTCTACCACTTACATTAAACTCAGATGGGAGAAAGAGGCGGAATAAACCTATCTGAAGAAGATTGGTCTAATATATGTAAAACCATAGCCACTACTTCAAGCTCCGATTCATGGAGAGAGTTCACTTGGAAAAATACTCTGAGCTTTTTTTTTAAATCACCAATAAGATTAAAGAACTCCAAAGTAAAAATGCTGAACATAGTAAATGTTGGAGGAAATGTGGATATACTTCAGTAGGCCACTTCCATATTTTTTGGAAATGTCCTAAAATCTCCCGCTACTGGACAGAAGTGGTTGAAAGAACCAAGCAGATAACTGGGTTACAGGTGGAGGGGAGCTTCAGTGTCTTTTACTTAGGCAACATAACAATTGGACTGAAGAAACAGGACAGATACCTGCTACAGATATTACAGGCAGCCAGCAAAAAAGCTATAATACGCAAGTGGTTGAATGGGGAACCTCCAATTGTTTCGGACTGGACAGAAATAACACATGAAATTCATGTTATGGAGCGACTAACTTCCTTAAGACTGTCCTCAGAAAAATGTGAAAAATACTGGAAGAAATGTAAATGTTTTCTTACTGAGAAATTACTTTGGAGCCTTGTGGTATTCCTTTGTATTACCTCTGGTAATAATATGTATCTGAGTTGTACATAATTTTCAACTTGTAACCTTGTGTATGTCAAACTTCTACCTAGATGGCCTAATTCCCTTTCTGTTTTTTTGTTTGGTTGGTCCTTTTTCTGTTGTCTTATGTTCAAATGTTATTTTCTATAAAAATGGGAAAAAAAAGCACTCACTAAAGAAAAAAAAAAAACAACACTACGGAAGCCGTGCAGGGACAAACGGAGTGTACCTTTGGTCCAGCAGCAGAGATGATGATGTGTCCCGGCGGCTGGATCCACGGTTCTCCATCCACCTGGACTGGTATCGGTTTCCTCAATGTCAGCCTGATGTAGTTCCCTTGAGCAATGCGAATCCCGGAACGGAAACCACTCTGCACCTGGCCCTGCGCACACACACGCACACAGTGTGGTAAACCCTCTGGATAAAACCAGTCTGTACTTCTTCACTCTAAACTGTCTCACCATGTGGACGACCCCTGTGACCCCAACCACCTCCAACAGGCCGTCATCGATGCTGGGTTTCTCATAGCGACTGTCGACCTCTGACCCCCAGAGATCAGCACCTGAACCCCAACTACACACAAGAAGATGAACGTGAGGTCAAGACTGTGTGTGTCTGTGTGTGTGTGTGTGTGTGTGTGTGTGTGTTACCTGGGTATATTGAGGAAGATTAGCCCCTCTATGTTGGGTAATGGGACTTCCTGCCCGTCCACGTGAAGCTGCAGCTCTTTGTGGAGACTCCTCGTGTGACTGATCTTCTGCAGGCCTACCTTCACATACACACCTTTGTTATGAAACCTGTGGAAGACAGGAAGCAAAAGGGCTGATGGGAAACGTGGTCTTCACTGTCAGAAACACGCACCAGTGCTTTCTGTAAAGTGCAATACCACTGATGGCCACTAGATGTCAACTACAAAACAATCCTAACTCTTATTCATAAAGCGTCAACTTTAATGGGAAATTACAATCGACCACAAAATTCTGGCTTTCTCATAAATTTTCACCTGCTGGTGAATTTGTCGGGTTCGTCCTCTCGAGCCAGGTGGAAGTCGAGGCTGAGCTCCGCATCGATACCGAGACCAAAGTAGTTGTTCATCTGGACAATCTGAGGGAAAGACAGATACTTCCATGATACTTTTATCCATTTTTTCCACCACAGCATCTGTATAAAAAACGGAAACATCCACAACCCAAGCAAAGTTAAACCAACCCTAACTTGTGAAAACAAAAAGAACTACAGGGATACCCAGAGAACCGAGATCTCCACCGAGGCTAACATGATTTATTTCACTTTTTCTCTAAAGTGATCCCAAAATTTGCTTGTTACATTTTTACTTCGAAGGGAGGTGGACAGGACACCTCCCTTTGAGTTCTGTGAAATTTGTGCATAATCTTGTTGTCAAACAATCATCGACCACCACTGGGCTCCACCTTGGCAGCGGAAACTACCGTAGCTTGTGGCGTTCATAGATATCCTTAAAATTAACAAACAGTTTGTTTGGGTTTATGGGTTTTTCCTAACTTGCTCTGGCATCAGCTGTGCAAAAACATCAGTGGAGTGTTTTTGGATGACATCATAGCCCCTCTACACACCAGGAGAAAAACTACCTCCCTCCAAAGTTCAGCTGATAGCTGGAACAAAGTAACATGAACAAAACTCCCAGGAAGTCCAGATCCTTTCTGTTCTGTATGAAAGGAAAGTTGTGAGCAGCTGAAACCGAATCAAATGGCAACAACAAGCTTGTCCTTCACTTCTGGCATCAGGAGAATGACCAGACTGCAGGATGTTTTCAGCTGATTGGCTTTCGGGAAGCAGTCAGTGGAACTTCTTGTTCCAGCTGTTACAGATGCATCTGAACTAACCGTGACCATTGTTAGTTCATGGACTTTTGTCTGGTTGTAAAGTCTAGACCACGAACATGTTTCAGGCTTTTGGAAATTATATTTTATCTCTTAATCTAATAATGATAATGCTTTTGCATCGGACCTTGGGTGGCTCCAAGAAGTCGTTGTCTTTGCCATCCTCTGAGACATCCTGGGCGTCCAGCAGGATGGTCCAGCGGTCCATCAGAACCTCATCAGCCTCATAAACCGACACTAGGATGTGGTAAGGGTCCTCACCACTGTAACCTGGACCCCACCGCAGGATACGAGCCAAGTCGTTACCTGACAGGACACAAATCAAACTCAACTGTTTACCAGCAAGTTAAAAACTGCCAAGTGCCCAAATCGACTCAACAGGAACTCGTCTCTGCATTAGAAAACAAATAAAAGAAGCAGCGTTTGGTCTCACCTGTTCCTAGTGGTACAATACCAATGGGCGGTTCGCGACAGGTCAGTTTGTGCCTTACAGCCTCCAGCACTCCAAGCACCCAGCCCACCGTCCCATCGCCCCCGCAGACCAGCACCCGAAACCGGGGAACCTCCCTGAACGTGTGCAGGCTGCAGAGCGAACAGTAGAGACAGTTTTAGTGCGATGACCACAATTTAAAACGAGGTGAACATTTCTGACACCGACTGAAACTTCACAAATGTCTTTAGGAGATTGGTACCCCTCCACAGACTACCTGCCCAGACTGGAACCAGCCTCACTGTTTGCTGCTGAGTTGCATCTACAATGCTTTTGTTTCAGCTTTTTGTGGCTCCGTGAGATGATTTTATGTTACTTGGCAATGGTTTTTGTGGCTCTCGTTAGCTGTTTTGTGTCTTTTTTGTGGTAATTTCTCATCTCTTTGTACTCTGTCGCATCCCCCTGCAGTCTTATATTTATTTTCAGTTGTTCTGCATGCCGTTGAGGTTGTTTGCAACTCTTTCTAGAAAGCAGAACCACTTCAATTGTCTTCTGTTTCAAATTTTAAAAATTAGGTTAAAACCTAAACAATTACTAACAAACCATAACAATAACATCATAGATAAACAGGCAAACATCATTTTGTATCACCTTTTAACTTTGATGGTGATAAATCAGGTCTGCAGCAGACTGGTGGAAATGTTGCCAGGTTTGCCAGTTAGTGTCACACACTACATGTGAAACCCACTGGTTTCCACCATTTTGAACCCTTAATACTATCTCAATATTTGGCTCCCAGAAGTGGAGCTAAGTTATCAGCTAATGATAGCTAGCTGAATTAGACATGACACAGATAAACAAAAAAAAACATCCAAATAAAATCCTAGAAATAGTTAACCTCACAGCAGGTTGGTCAGATAACTGCATTAAAAAAAGCTCCAAAAGGCTCCAACAGCACAAACACTCTGTGTGGCCTTTATTCCAGTCACAGAGGCCACGCCCCTAATAATTAAACTGTAGGCGTCAATAGAATTTAAACAGGTCAGTTATAAAAC